GTACCTAACAGCAGGTTCACCATTTTTCCCCACCTACATCTTTAAATTCCTTTCCCATTCTCTCCTTGTAGACGTCCTCCAATCTCCTACTCGTCCTAGCTTCCAAAGAGTGTCTCTTTCTCTCTGCTGAGGTGTGATTACTTTCCTCCTCTGAGCACCAATGATCAGAGGGTTCAGTGTGTGTGTGAGCGTGTGTGTTTGGTTGGTGATCTGAGCAGCCTGGTGCTGGGTATTGTGTGGTGCAATTCATGGACGATGTCTCCAGATGAATGCCTCCATTCACAATTACAGCTTCTCCATTAGCTGCAGCCCTGGCTGCCTTGTTGTTGTCTTTTCTTCATCTCTGCTAGGGGAAAAAAAGCAATTAAAACAGGACAAAAACAAGATGGAAGAACACAAGAAGAGTACCTGCAAAAAGAGGGAAAGAAAAGGGAACATGAAGGCTCCCTGGCTGCGTCTGCAGCGGAGGGGATTCTCACTGCACTGGGTTATTCCTAGGAACTTTTCCTAAGTGTTTTGCATAACTAAAAACTGCTTAATGATTTATTCTGGTTGTTTTTTTTACTAATTTCAAAAGCAAGTTTTGTTTTTGTTTGTTTTTTGCCCAGATTTGCTCATTAAAGTTTAAACTGATGCGGATTTACTGCCTTATGTTCCTAGGCTTGGTGACAAAGCTGAAACTCTATTCAACTACGATATAAACGTGTTATATGCAAACTAAGTAAACACAACAGCTAAAATAAAATGCTTAGTAATTTTCTATTCTAAGAAACAAATGCAACTTTTAAGCATAGGCTAAGCTACTGTAAGCAAAGCTTATATTCCACACAATAAATAAAGAAATAAAGACGACAAATTTAAAAAAAGAGAACTAAAATTATAACCCAGATCCAACTTATGTTGTTACTTTAAGGAAAGCTTAATTATGAAACTATCCAACACATCTTCTTACCCCAGTTGGCCTCAGCAGATGGCCCCTCACACTGAGCCTGGTTCTGCTGGAGGTTTCTTCCTGTTAAAAGGGAGTTTTTCCTCTCCACTGTCGCTTCAAGCATGCTTAGTGAGGGATTGCCTTCAATTCAATGAGTCGATGCAATCAACAGGTTTTCATTAGATAGAAAACTTTTAATTAATCTGACTGTTTGATCTGGTGAAGTGTAAAGTGTCTTGAGATGACATTTGTTGTGAATTGGCGCTATAGAAATAAACTGAATTGAATTGAATCTTCTCCCATGGTTGAGCACAGGGATTTTCTTTTTACAAGCTTGTAAGTAAAATGTTAATATGAAGGCTGTAAGATGCCTTCATGTAGGTATTTATAGGACATAAAAGTAGGAAGGTTGCTAGGAGAGTAGACCGCCCATGATTTAAGGGATAATAAAGAAACTTTACATATTCTCATTTATCTTTTCTACATAGGAAACTATTTTAAACAAAACCTTTAGTGACATTTAAGTTAAAACGCAGGTTTTGATTCTTTAGGCCACATGTAAGGTATTTTCCAGAGCAAAAGCATCACAGTTATAAACAATCTTTATTCTCACTTGTTAAAGGAAATCCTGCAGAATGCAAAGACTGAATAGGAATAACGAGGTAATATTAATTTTAAATCTTTCAGAAATTTACTCTTTTTTTGACTAAATATGCTAAATCTAACTTCAGCTTCTTAGTGAACTGTTAAATGTTGGAAATAGCCACTGAAACTTAACTTTTATGATAGAACCAGGCTGGCCCATTTCATTACCCTGCTAAATGATGGTTCTAAAAATAATAACAGAGAGTTATTACTTATATGGGACATGAAAAATACCAAATCCTGATTAATATTGCTGAATAAAGATGTTAAACATATTGTGGAGGATTTTCGTGAATTTCCAAAGACCCGCCCTTTCCACTTAAAAAAAAAAAGCACATGCACAACCCTGTACCCGCTCCTGAGAGGGATCGCTTATCAAACGCATGCAAGAGAATTCACAAGGCCCCCTCTCCTCGTGCACCCTCTGTTTAAAAGTTGCTGTTATGCTTACTTTCCAAAAGAAGATTTGCTATTTTTCCACTATGTCAGACTGACCACCTGTAAGTGAAAATGCGGACGAGCATGTAGCCTTATGTAAACATATCGCCAGAATGATTGACAATGAGGAGGACCACTTATTTAGATGATCCATCCGGAAAAACAAAATCCTCCACTACACCTTTAATCTTATAGCTGCCTGACCTTGTCGTGAAAGACAGCGAGCAGAGGCCCAACCTGACCACTGAATGAGATGTTGAGTATATTGTAAAGGAGTAACCAATCCATTATGAGGCTGACTCCTGGACTAACTGTTCACAATTTTATGGAAAGCCACTTTAGAATGGTTTGATTATTAAATGTTTGTTTTTGCGACTTAAAAATTGCCCAATGCTGCACAGAAAACAACAAAACCTTGATTTATTTTCCGTAAGTTATGAGGTCGAAACCCTCTACTTTAAGCTTTTAGTTACTTATTTATAATTTATTTTAAAAACCGTATTTTGTTTTTCTGTACATTTTAACAGCTTTGATTTGAATTGTTATTTTCATATTATACTGAAATCAAAGCTGCAGCATTAATAAAACTGTAAGATACACTGTAATAATAAGGTACATTGTAGGCGCCTCCAAAGTCTTCAGCCTTATTCCAACAGCAACGCTTGCTTTAACCCTCTATAGTGCTTTAAACAGTATTCTTACACCTTGAACTTTAGTAGGTTTTATTCCGGTTTTCTATGGCATTTTATCTGTTAGAGGAACAAAAACGATATCGAAATCTAAGTAAAAAGAAAATATGGATTTTTTAAAGCATGAGGAATGAAAAGTGCGGTATGCAGGTTTATTCATTTTTTTACTCTATGTTTCTTTGAAAACCTCAAAGGTTAAAAGAGCTGAGGGTCTTTATAAAATCCAAAACATGGAAAATTTCAGAGCTTTGTTCAACCATCATTTAAAAGAGAAATAATATGGCTAACCTACAGATATGTCTGCCCACCTTAGGTGACAAACTGGGTTAGAGGAAGATAATTTAGATAAATGACACCAGAACAAGATATTAATAGCACTAGCGGGAAGAAGATCAACAAAGTAGAAAGAAGCTGTGAACAGAACATAAGATCACCTTTCAGCAGGACAACCACCAAACACTCACAGCTTCTACTAAAAACAACTGGTTTCATTAAAGCATACTTTTTGTTCGTCAGTGTAGTATCATAAGCCAGGATATTAATTTTGAACATTGTTGAAAGTAAATATTCTCCCTGTCTCCCATGGGTCTGTCCCAGGCTACATTTGGGAAAACTCCTGTATTCTCACTGCATGCCAGGGAATTTCACTCCTTATACTGTTCAGAGTGAAGCCGACCTGCAGGCTACTTTCTAGAACCGGATTACTGCAAATCACACTGTCTTCAACATTTATATCAAGTCTTCAGGAGTAACTTTGAGCCAACAGGCCGAGAAACTGATGAACCTCCAAGCTAGGATATCAAGGCACCAGCAGCCCTAAGCATCGCTATAAACTCCTCATCTACGGAGGAAGCGAGTGTGCCAAGATACAGGGTTTTTTGATGTTTTTTATGTTTACTGGCTACGGACAGTTTAGCGGTGCAGTGGGTAGCACTGCTGCCTTGCAGCAAGAAAGTTCCAGGTTCAAATCCCAGCCTGGGGTCTTTCTGCATGGAGTTTGCATGTTCTGCCTGTGCATGCGTGGGTTCCCTTCCTTCCATAATCCGAAAACATCACTATTAGGTTAATTGGGTTCTCTAAATTCTCACCTTAGGTGTGAGTGTGTGCATGAATGGTTGTTTGTCTCTGTGTTGCCCTGTGATGGACTGTCAACCTGTCCAGAGTGGACCCCGCCTATCGCCCATTGACAGCTGGAGATAGGCACCAGAACCCATCGTGACCCCAGCAGGGATAAAATGGATGGATGAGTTTACTGTGTTTTATATATATATTGGTTATAGTTTTTGATATTTTCAATGTTTTTGATATTTTCAGTATTTTTCTTCTTTGTGTACATGTTAGATATTATATTTTGTTGAGTTTAACTAGATTAGATTAGATTAGATGAGCTTTATTAATCTCACAGCGGAGAAATTCACTGGTCACATATTGGCATAATAATTAAAGAAGGTGTAAACAAGGAGGAAAAGGTGCATTAAGAATAAACAACATATATACAGTATATCAAGATAAATAAGGGTTAAGGTGCAAGTGTACATGTATCACACACAATGAAAAACAAAATAAAAATAAGAAATAAAAGAATAGAAAATACAAGGGAGTAGCACAGAGATTTGAGGTGACATATGTACGATCCGGATGGCTCATATACAGGTGGATTGACTTTTACATTAAAGTGTAGTAGGTAAGGAACAACGGTGAGGTAGAGGTATGACTATTATATTCACATATATTGCACAGTCAGCATATTGCACAGAATATTGCACAAAACAAAAAAGGAGTTATATTTACAGGAGTTAGCTTAGCTAAGAGTTTTTAACTGAAATATATTTGACCTCTAGTTGAATGTATTTTCTTAACAAATTTTACATTAAGGTTGTTAATTTATTCCATATGTGTGCAGCGTTAATTGTTTGACCATGATTTGAGCTCGAATCACGCATTAATCTGTTGTCCTAACACACACCCAGTTTTGTGTGTAATCACAGAACAACACATAACAGTCTTAAATTTGTTACAATAAATAATAACTACAAATCATGTCAGTTATGAATTGCATAACGTCGGTTACATAAAATCCCAATGCATAAAACATACAGGTGTAGGTGTAACAATAATACAAATTAATTTAATGAATAAGGAGAAAGTTTTAAGGGATATCAACACTGTATTAGAAAGTTAGAGGGAACTCATTTACATGTGGCGTTTAAGGGCAGCTGCATTTACACAGAGGACAAAACTCTAAATGCAGCATGAACTGTTGAGCGTTCTCTATCTTTGCTTTTTTTGTGTTTCAGAGGGGCCCCTGGACAGCATTGTGTCCATGGGGGGGCATCACCCCATCCCTCATGGAGGGCTGTACAAGAGGGACGGTTTCCCTCCTCTGGATCTGCTTCAGTGGGTCTACCAAATGGAGAGAAACAGGAAAGTGAGAGCAGGCGACATCGCGTTGCCAGCCAAGCACAAGGTACAGTACTGTACACAGAGGTAAAAATGCACATCACACACACACACACACACAGGATGATTTACTGTTCCAATAAATCACTGGGACCGCCTAATTTCCTATGGATTTCAATTTCCCCCTGGACATATCTGCATTGATCAACTTCAGGTGTAAGGATGTGCCAGGCGTCGCTCACAGTGACACTGAAGAATGGCTCACAGATCTCTGCTATATATGGGTGTGTGTGTGTTTTTCGTGCAGGGGTATAACTGTGGGATTTGTGCACATGCAGCGTTGCAGTTCAGCTCTGTCGTCACCGGTGGAGCATGAGGAGACAAATCCTTGAGTCTGAGTAATAGGATCTGGAAATGTCAGAATCATACAGACAGAGATAGGGGATCAGACAGTCGCATCGAGGCTCGAGAGATACCGTCATTGTGATCAGATCAGCTTCTAGGTCTGATTAGGAGGAACAATTAAACCTCATTCAGCAACTATTGTTCCCCCAAAGAGGAGCGCTATGAAACACTTTGCAGCCAATCATCTCTCACATCACTGTTACGACTCAGATGTATAATCACCCTCTGTCTTCGTCTTCATTATAAAACACATTGTAGCACTGATAAAAGTTTGGCCTTGGATGAAAAGTGTGTGTGTGTATTTGTGGGTGTTTCCGGCTGACACGTCCTTGCAGAGGTGCACGCTCCCCAGGCCTGTAGATGAGTTTTGAGCCGGTGTGAGAAGGCAGCGACGAGGTCTGACAACGTCTTTACCCCAAGTTCCTCCCCTAGAGGCAGATCTGAATGGATTGCAGGAGCAAGGAGGAGAAATAAATTGGAGAAAAGGATAAATCAATGCTTGGCGGAGAGGCAAACAGACCTTTCCAACCCCCAGTCCACACACACACACACACACGTTCCACAGCGTGCCTTTTTTTCCCTGGGCTGTATTGGATTGGTATGCAGAGCCGAGGAGAGAGACACTCAGAAAAAGACTTGGCCTACAAATGATGTCCTTTGTTTGATCCATTATGTTGGGGGTTGTTGGTGGACTGGTTGTGGTGGTGTGTGGGTGTGGGGTGGGGGGTGGGGGTCCCATCGAGATGGTGGAAGAGCTGGGAAGCAAACATATCTGAATGGGAGCATATCCCTTTTCCTGACAGCATCTCAGCTGTGAGAGGAAAAAAGATGGCCGCTTTCTGTTGACGGGTTGCGGAGCAAAGGGGGGTTTGTTTTTATCCCACACCGAAGATTTTTTTTTTAAAGGTAACATTAAAGCATTTAATCATGGTAATTGCATATGATTTGTCTTTGCTTGACAGTGATATTTTAACTCACTAATACTGCTGCTATGAACTGGGAACTAAGCTCAATAAACAGCTTTGGTTGATCTTTTTCTGGAGCAACTATTAAGCAGGTGTCAGAGTATAGAAGCAGACCCTAATTTTTTTTATTTTTTTTTTCTAAAAGAGACGATTACAGAAACTAATTTATTGCTAATAAGCCAATCATTATCCATTATCAAATTAATGAAGTTGTTCCAGACCCTTACCTGTACAACAAAAATAAATAAATCAAAAGCTGATATAAAGGATTAAAAAAAAGAGAGTTACTGGGTTTAGGAATTTTATGAATAGATAGATTGCAGTTAAAGGTATTGTGGAGGATTTTTGCAAGTTTTTGAAAACACCTGCCTTCTCCACTTTAAAAAAAAAATGCACATGCACAACCCTGTACCCACTCCCGAAAGGGATCGTCTAGTAAACGCGTGCGAGAGCATGCATGAGCCTATTGCTCTGTGCACGCTCTGTTTAAAAGTTGCTGTCTGCATGGCTCATACAAGCTTACTTTCCAAAAGAAGATTTGTAATTTTTCCACTATGTTAGTCACCACTGCTAAGTGAAAATGGGGACGAGCATGTAGGCAGCCTTATGCAAACATATCAACAGAATGATTGACAATAAGGAGGACCACTTATTTAGATGATCCACCCGGAAAAAGAACATCCTTCATAATATCTTTTAATATAGACCCACCAATTAGGATTATCTTTAGTTACCTTAAAAATACATGTATTTAAACTGTTTGTGATCAATATTTATAATCTATACTCCAGAAATAACTTAGACCAAAAAATGTAGACCTGAGCAGTGTTAGTATAATGGTCATATTGAAAAAAAAGCAGCTTGCATAGAAATAGTGGGAATATTTTTTTTTGTATACATATTATTGTGGCATAGAAAATTCTTTAAAAAACCCTTTTTGTTGTTTTAATGTATAAATCTAATCTTAAATCTCCTTTCAGTTGTAGCAAAAAGGATAAAGAACAGCAATAAATCTATAAAGCATCAGTCTATTTGTAAAATACACATAGTGAATTAAGTTTCTGAAATAAATGAGCTATTTAGTAATATTTAAATGTGTTAAATATGAGTATTTGCTGCTTCGACGATCAACCATTTAGCTGCTGTTTCAGTTCATTCAAAGAAACAGGATGCTCTCTGGGTCTCTTGATGGTTGCTTCCAGTAGAGCAGCACCATCAACACATGCGGTATACTGGTATAGTTGCTTCATTCAAGAAAAGATAAAGCATCATCAGCGTAGAGTGTTCTTTATATTTTATTCTAACTACCAACTATTATGAGTGATCATGTAAAACAATCTGGCAGAACTAGTTGCAAATCCCTCTCGCTTGCTTCTTAAATATAGATCTAATGGTATGAGGCCCCCCGCTGAGGTTGCCAGACCAGTTTCACTCTCAAAACAGACTTTTAAAATGCAATCAAATCTCAACTTCAACCTCCCTCTAATTATTTATGCAGCTAATTTTTTTCCTCCTTCACTGCTCACTCTGCCTGCACTCCAGCACACTGTCTCTATCTCTCATTTTTCTGAGACATGCACCACTCTGAGCTCTTCACCAGCTCCAGCACACCCCGTTTAGATTAGCTTGGGAGTCTCTTTTTTTTTTTTTTCGTTGCCACGTTTCTTTTTATAGTTTGGTCGCTCGTACTGTACTCCCTGCTGTGCTTCTATTTTCATGAATGCTGTGAGAAATAATTGAAAGCGCCGTGTTCGGCGCCGTCTGTTGCACAGCTCCCACTTGCTCATGCCTTGTAAATACTGTATCGCTAAAACCCCCGCTGAAAAGCTGCCAGTTTGGGAATCCTCACAATTTCGGAAACGTCAACGCTCGTTGGAAACTTGAGCCAAGATCATATTGTTGCTGCAGTCTGAGGGCTGCAGCAACTATTGCTCAGCTGCTTTGCCCTTGTCTTTTTTTTTTTTCTCCTGTAAAACCGATTAAAACTAAATTCTTGGAGACTGTCTTCTTCTCTGTATGTTTTCACAAAATCTTCCACCCATGACTTCTATAAACAGGAGGAGAAGCATGTCAGAGGAGTCATGACTGCTGCTGTAAGTGATGGTGTAGCAGATGGAGGCATCAAGGAATTTTTACAGGAACAAATGTTCTGTATGTGCAGAAGAGTTTTACAGAAAATGACCTCTGTTGGCGTTTCCATCAGGTGTGTGGGGGGAGACTGTAAGAGAATAAAACTCCTCACCTTTATCGGTGTGGAAAGCTCTAAGAGCATCACTGCTTTGTCCCAATTCCCACAGTGTCCCGACCTCCTGACCTCTCCTATCTGATCTAATAGAATCAAAGCGCAAAAACTCTTGTATTTATATTCCTTTCAGCTGTATTTAAATTACTTGTTTTAATTCTAAAAAATCTCTTTCTATGAAACCAGACTTTGGGAACTACAAGAGACAGAATGACAAACATGACCTTCATCAAGCACCAGACATCGAGGAAGGCTTTAAAGGTTTGTAAATCAGAGCACTATTTCGTTTTTGGATGAGATGCATGAAAAACACTTTTCAATCAGACAAATATGTGTTTTGTCATGCGAGGCGCACCTGGCAGGAAGCCTGTTTGGCCACCAAATTGTATGTTTTTCCTCATTGCACATATGGTGATCTCTGCAGCTGGAACAGCTACTGAAGCTGGCAGATATGCTGACAGTTATTCTATTAATGAAAATAAATGTTTTTATTCCCTCTAAATACCGGATGTAGTTTTGGCTTTAATGTTTTCGTAGTTGACAGTTGGCAGGAAAATTTAAGTCTTACAGAAAGTCTTCGCTAGATAGAAAATGGTGGTTCTTGCATGAGCAGTACCTTTATTGAACAACTCATGTCTAACCTAGATAAGTAGAGAAAAAATCGATTCTGTCAAATTTGATGTCAAAATGATCTGAAATATAAAAAATATTTAAACGCAAACATCAACTTTATTCAACCTACCAAGAGCCTATTATACAGTTGCTCTGCAGCAGTTGCAGAAAAGCAACATGTTTAAAGAGCTGCATTATTTTAAAAATTGCAATATATCGTTAATGTATCGCGATATATCATATTGGAACACACATATTGTGATACTTTATGTAGTTATCACCAGATAGATAGATAGATAGATAGCTGTAAGAAATAATATATTTCTTAGAAAGCTAAAATTCTTTTTACAGGATTAACATTTTTATTTATTATTACCTTTTTCAGTTTTGTGCAATTTTAATTTTGAGTGTGGATCTATCAGTTGCTTTAATGGGGAGGGTATGTTATCAAGCCCCCTCTGTAAAACTGATATTTCACCTTCAAATATGAAATTCTGTACTACTTTCCACATTTCTTTCCTACAAGGTTTGGTAATAAACATGAAGCTACACTTCCTGCCCAGTAGGTGGCAGTGTATGAAACATACAAACTGTTTTTCGCGGGGTTTGGTGTGAGGGATTGCCTTCGAGTCAATAAGTCCATACAATCAGCTGGTTTTCCTTAGATAGAAAACTGAATTAATCTGACTGCATGATCTGGTTGACCTTTCTCTGTAAAGTGCCTTGAGATGACATGTGTTGTGAATTGGTGCTATATAAATAAACTGAACTGGATTAAGTGTTTCAGTGTTGAACGATGTAGTTAAGGTGAAGTGTTTATAGTTTATATTGGAGCTGTTTAGATAAAGCCCAGACTACCTACAAATACAGATATTTTACTAATCAATTACTAGATATAAACTACAGTAGTGCTTCATAAGGTATTACTTATGCAGGGCATTTTTTCTTCACTGACAAATTATTGTTTCTTCAGTGTTGGTGGCCCCTCTAGCCATTGTGCCCTGGGCAGTCAGCCTTATATCACCCATATCAAAAACTACTATTCTTTTTATGATTGTTATAAATGCGTCAAATAAGTATGTACAAGTTTTTCTCAGATGTTGTCAAGTACAAGCATCCAATAAAAAGAAGATAAGTTCGAAAAACAAATTCATGTTGAAGCAATGTTACTGTAGGACACGGGGAATAAGTATCCAACACACTCACTGAAGGTTTAGGTTTTGGAGAAAGCCTTTTTTATGGTTATGAAATGAACTTCTCTGAACATTTCTGGTGAGATGTTGACCTGTTTCTCTTATGGTGTTCGGTTCTTTGCATGTTTCTTAGTCATTCCCTCATTTTTTTCTCTGAAAGCAGTTTTAGATTTTTTTATTTCTGTTGTTTTTTCTTAAAAGTTTTGAATCATTTCATCTTCAGATTCTTCTAAAGAATGTCCCAGTACATTTCTGTATTCATCCTTCCTTTAGTTATATAAAAATCTGCCAGAACCATTCACTGCAAGACCATTTACCATCATGTCATTCCTGTGCTAATAAGAAACCTTTTAAAAGTCAATCAACTAAAACCAGCTGATATTTATCTGCACCTAGCAGCAGAAATCTGTATAAATACACATCTGACACACACTGCTGTTTTATGTGGCTTTCTACACCTTTTCCTTCATTTGTTTACTTAATCAAAACGGCTATATATTGCATTTATTAAAATTTTTTTGTGTGGGCTACTTAGATATTTACAAAAATCAGCTTTGAAATCCAGATAGATTAAAATAGAAATATATTTACTGAGAAAAACACTGGTGTGTTCAAAACGTCACAATGATTGCCTCTATATTCCACAGCTACAACCAGCAGATGTTCTACAGATGTCCTCCCTAAGACGCAGACCTGTCCCTAAGATGAAGGAGATGGAGCGACAGAGCAGGTCCTTGTCGTCACAAATTGTAAAGGATTTCACCGTGAAGAAGAGGAAACTACTGGATTCTTCTAATCCACTTGGCGAAGCAGAAAAGTAGGAGGGTGATAGCGGTGTGGGGGGTAGCTGAAGACACAACATGACCCGTGGTTAAATAAGGGCTGCTGTTTTCCTTTGTGCAGCAAACCAATTGATCATTAATCGATGTGTGTACTGTATTTCTGCCTCGTGACCGCCCTGTCAGCTGTGATCATGCTTGTGAATGTCTAACCCAAACCCTCTCCCACCTGCCCCAATCCCTCCCCTGCAAAAAGAAAAAAAAAAAACAGCAAATAATTTAAAGAAAAGCTTTCAGTGCTCATCTCAAGCTCCTCAGTTTGCCCCCTGCAAGTTGCAAAGGGTTAGCGAGCGATATGTTTGTCTTTTTCCACTTCAGTGAAGGGTGAATTCAGCTCGCCGCAATAAGAAATGGATTACCCGTTCATTAAGGGGGCTGCGTCACTCCTCATTGAGCTGGACAAATAACAAATTAATTCCTAGCCGCCTAATTTCTCTCTGTTCTCTGCTGAATTTTTCGATAGCGTCGAATTACTGATCACAGCCGCGTGAGCTCCCTCAACTTTTTATCAATTTATTAAATAAAATATGCCACAGTGGGGATCAGGTGAAAAAGGGAAAAATGTCTTCCTGTTTTTTACGACTGCAAGCAAAAAAAAAGGAGAGCTGGAGAAAAAAAAACTGTAAAAGTTATTTTTACTACTATCATAGTATTTTATCAGGACATCTCAATCTCCTTCTATCAGTCAAGTGCAGGTCAGTTGCTCGTGGTGTTTTGTAAAGTAGCGGTGGTGTATTGACAGGCTGGTATTGATGTTTCAATTAGAGCGGCGTTACATAGTGCTGCAGCATGGTAACACGGTGCATCTCCTGCCATCTGCTCTGCCTCCACGTCTGACGAACGAGGCACGTGGGGCTAATCGAGCCGCACATGAGCGATGGCACCACGATATCTGTCTCACACACACAGACACACACACGAACATCCTATGCGCACGTCCTTATGCAGAAAAAATGGTGCTTAGGAAGTGGGGGAGCTCCTCTGCTCTGCTGTTTAAAGAGCACCGCAGAAAAGCTTGGGTTTCCTCCCCTCATCTTGTGCCACAGGAGCAGCCAGCAGGTTATTTCTCTGACATGGATTCGGGCTAAAGCACCAGATGCACGAGATGAAATTCTTCAAAAGCTCCTCTTGATGAAAAGACAAAAAAAGGAAATGGCCTGTGCCAGGTTTCTGTGCGCTGGGACAGCCTGAAATAACACTGTGCATTATGCCTGGCATTACTGCCTGCCAAACCACACGAATCAAAGGCCTCATTGTGTGGATTACCTTGTTAATCTGCTGATGCCATTGAGCAGTATTGCAGGTGTTAATGTGCCAGATTTTTTTTTTTTCCATCTCTCTCTCTCGCTCTCTCTTCTTTTATTGGGGAGGTGTAGCGTCAGGTTTGTAATCTGCTTTAAATGCTTTCTGGGGAATGACACACTGAAACTCTGCCAAGAGATTGCGAAGAGCTCTCTGTTAAAACGGCACAGGGAGGGGACGCGGGGCGCTGAAGCCTGTGGGGACGAGCTGGTGAGCTGCACGCCCCACACCACTTGTTGAAATATAGGGCTGCATGAATAATGAAAGAGGGAGAGGGAAGCGATATTGCTAAAGCAGCCCCACAATGACATCCATCATAGTAATGCCCCATCGCTCTGCTTCTTTTGTCTCATCCTGCACTAACTCCAAGTTGCGTCTCTTTGGAGAAGCGAGCTCGGAGTCGTGCTCTGTATCTGCCTGGGCTGATAGACCAGAAACGGGGGAAGCCAAAAGAGATAGATAAATGCACAGAAAGAGAGAAAAGTGGAGAGAGTGAGACAGAAAGAGAGGTAATCCATGCTTCTTTTCTGCTCCCCGGGGTGGTCTCTTCATCCAGGGCCTCAAAGAGCCACAGAATACACCTCCCTGCTACAATGGAGGGGACCCACAGGGGCTGTTGCTATTTGAGTGTGTATGTGTGCGTAGTGGGGGTGCAGCTTTAAGCAGGCCTTTGAGTGGCCTAATTGCATTGGAATACAGCAGCCTGAGAGCTGATTCAGATCACGACGGGCTGCTGGAGGGGTTAGGGCCCGCACCTCGACAGCCACACTCAGCAAAAGAGCCCCGACACAAAGCGCACAATTAATGCTCTCCCTCTCGTTAACTCTCTCCCCACTTTTTGTCCTTTTCCTACTTTTTATCTCATCCCCCTCCTCTTGCTCGGTCTCCTCCCCAGCTCCATCCATCCCTTCTCCTGACCGAACGGCTCAGTATGTCGTCACTCACCCACCGTATTAATCCTCCCATGCAGCCTGTCAATCTCCCCATCTTTGATGGACTCAACAATTACAGTAAAGATGAAAGGCGTGGGCGGCCGCCTCCCATTATGTAAGACTTTCAACAGGCCAAAGATAAAAATGACTGACTTGCAAGCGGCTAAACTGAAATCAAAACTTTTACCGGCAAATAAAATATCTGGACGTGTGCTGTTTCACACAATCTGCACTGAAAAAGCAGAAACTAAACACATAAAAACTGAAATAAATGGCTTAATTTAAACAACTAAAAACTGAGATGTTTTGTATCCATACCAAGAAAACCAGCTTTTAGAACAGAAACAAGTAATTCTCCCTACATAATATTCTGATAGAGTTTAATAAATATTAATAAACTGCATTTATGTAAGTTCAAAAGAGAAGGATAACGTTTAAAATAAATTTAAATAAAGTTATCATCTTGCTAATTTGGTTTGTTCTTCCCAAAACCACAAAAAATAAGTTTATTTGTAACGGCCAAGGCAAAAATTGTAATATTAACAAAGTTTTCTATCTCATCTTGGAAGTTTTTACAAGCATAACTTGTTAGCAACTTTGTTTTTAGCATTAGCTTCATTGCTAAACAAGACATCAACTCATATTCTTAATTCCTACAGTTATATTACAACTTTTAAAATTTTACTAAGATGATAGAGCTCCAATAAACATTATCACACAAAAACAACAGATAACTGATACAGTATGTGAAGTTAGTTCTAATAAAAATGTTTAAACAGGGTGCTACGTAGCTAATAATGTAGCTAGCAATGCTACATTTTCAACATTGTTGCTGCTACATAGCTAATAATGTAGCTAGCAATGCTACATTTTCAACATTGTTGCTGCTACATAGCTAATAATGTAGCTAGCAATGCTACATTTTCAACGTTGTTGCTTTTACAGATCAATAAGTTACATTTTAATATTCATTTTTATGGTATAACTGTGCCCCATTCCTTCCATTTGAGGAAGTTCAGTGATTTTTGTAATTATTACAGTCGTTAAGAGTTAATATGACTATTTTGATTTATTTTTCTGATTCCAAATCTTAAATTATGAGCATTTACATATTTTTCTTCTACTAATAGTGAGAACTTCCTTTGCATGGAGTTGGGATGTTTTAACATTTTGAAGCGCTTTAATTCTTAAAGTATATTTAATCAAGAAAAAGTTGGACAACTTTTAAAATTGAGGAACGATGGCTCCTCCAACTTGTCCGCCTTGAGACAAGTTAGAGGAGTAGTACAAATCTGCGTAATTTATAACTACTACTTAAAACAGTCTATTTGTGGCCCCGTATTATATATTCAAACTGCCCTCCTCTTCCGTTTTCTGGTCCAAGTGTGTAAAGAAGTCAGTGAATTTTGAAAACATATCACATCTAACCGGCCCCCGCCTTTGATTTCCTTTATTACCCGAGCCGTGTCTTAATAAAATCTAATTATTTCCGCTCGCAGGACGTTTTTTTTTCGGGTGAGAAACTGGCAGAGGGATGTGAGCTGATGTATGGGGGAGACAGTCGCCTAATTAGAGCGTTAGAAATTGAATCTTTACAGCACACGGGTCATATAATTATCCTACTGTTAATTTAACGCTTACATTCCCCACCGTTCACTTCACTCCCTTAAATGCAGTTTGGCAGCAGCTCAGCACCCAGTGCAAGAGAGGAGGCCCCCATCGTTGGCCCTTCCAAGCGACTGAGTAACAGCGGACCCTGCAGTCCAAATAACAAGGCTCGCATCATTTATGCATTGTTAAGCCATGTAATTGAAACGAGCTGTAGTTTGCATATTACACCATTAAAATAATGTGCTTTGCGTTTCTCCCAACACGACTATTTAAGCCTGTGTGGCGATGTGGTAATTCCTCGAATTACAGCCTAATTACCACAATGTTCTTTTGATTTGGCCGATTTCAATGTTACGCCACAATAATGTGGAATATTAGCAGAATGAATGACTGAACCGTGCCCGGAAACTTTTCACAGCATAACTTAAATCCTGGTGGCTGCATGAGCTGTCAGTGCAGCTGGAGTCACATCTATAAAGGATTATTAGTCTATGAAATGAGATCCATTAAAGGCCCAATCACAAATCTTTCATTAAAGAGCTCAGCTTTACATGGAATAGGACCGTTTGTGTGTGTGTTACTCTCTTGATCCTCATTATCCACTTTAAATCACAGAGTGTGCATCTATCACTGATGTAAACATTGTAATGATGTTTGTGCTTGCTATGAAAATGTACTTAATTTACGACAAGCATTAGAATTTTACAACATATTTGCATTTTCTGTCATTTTCTAACCACCATGTACTTTTAAAATAATAATGTCTGTGTATTGAATTACAGCAAACGATAAAGCCTCAAATGTAGTTAGCCTTTTAAAGCCTGATCAAAGAAATAATCTCTGTTTAAATTTGAATTATTTTGATGCAATAAAGAAATCAAAGCAAAAGGTTAAAAGGTTACTTTCTATTTCTCTTTGTTTTGTGTCATAATCAATATAATATGTATATCTGGATTTAAAAGACATTTCAAACACTTAAAATACCACACAATGCTGGAACACCATTTACCACTTTACATCTGATACCTTTAAATAACAATGGAGAAAATTCGTTTTACGGTTAAAGATAATAATAATGTCTTGTTTACGTAATTTTTTGTACCATTAAGATTTGAAACGTTCAAAGCAAAAAGGAAAAGTTTTGGACCTCCTTAATTCAGCATTAAGAGTTTTTAAAAAAAAAAATCCAGTCCAGGCCAAAGAGAGACATTGTTCTCATGCCTTCCTCTGCACATTCCACGTTTGTCCCCCCATGAACTTTTTTGAATAAATGAACATATCTGATTATGATTTGTGAGTGTGAATATTTAATATATAGACCTTTGTATGTTCACTTACCAGTTTGGAATATTTTTGTGAAAGTATTTCTGTGATTGCTTTTTTATTGCCTTTTAATTTTACTGCCGGTTCGACGTTATTAAATAAAATGTTTAATTACAGTTTTAGTCATTTGCATAGTGAGAACGTTATAAATTGGGGATATTGGGAACTGTACGTGCTGATTTATCGCTTTAATTTGTTGCCACTAGGTAATATGTTACATCTGGGGAAGTGAATTGTTGTAGGCCAGACTAACCTACGGTGCTTTTTAATTGCGTCTGTACAGGAAGAGTTCACGCCTTTAAATCTAAATGATGACAACACCCAGAAGTTGTAAAGTGAAGACATGCTTCTGGTTACAAACTATGGCATTTCTTTTTAGTTTCATTCATCTCTGCAGAGTAAGAAGCAGCTCTCAGGACAGGCATAATCTCATCTTTTTCAACTCCTCTAGTCCTTTCTTCCTTTTTGGGGCCGGGGGTTCCTCACTCCTCCCTTCTTTATCCCTGCAAAGGCTTTGTCCCCGCGGCACAGAGACTCTCTAAATAGAGGCCTGTTTAGAGGAGGGGGACAGCAGTGACGTAACTGCTGTTGTTTCATTTGCCTCTCCCTATGGCAACCAGCAGCGGTTGGCCAGGAATGTCCCCTCTCTGGACAAAGTCCTGGTCCCTGAAGCTGACATCGGGTGGAACGACAGCTGGGATGGGACGGAGACTTGCCCTCCGTGCCCTGAACTAGAGGCCTTAGGTCAGACTTAATCCTTCAGTTCACCTCCATCTGTTTTCACCTCAGTGGACATTTAACAACCAGACAAGTCTCTGACACACTGATACCTCTAATACAGTCCTCTAGAAGGCTAAAAAAACTATTTTAATATCTTTTTTTTACTAATTTAATAGTGACACATCTTCATTTGTTTCTTCACATTTTTTTTTAATACAAAAAAAATTACTTAGAAAGTTCAAAGTTCCTTTTTTCCGTCTGTGGATTAGTTTCTGGTTATCAGTATTAACAGTCATAGAGTGATTACAGTCAGAGTAGATGAAAAAAAGCCCTTCCTCCACCTGTTGCTGCACACTACAATCACTAAAAATATGGAAAGCAGTTAAAGGTTAAATAGCATAAATAGCTCTAATATTTTGAATGCATTACTATTTTGTAAAACTCAAAATAAATGTTGCTTTTCTGCTACAGCTAAAAACAAACAAATCAAATTATACTTAAATTTGTTTTAGATTTCGTTATTTTATGTTTGTTTTGTTTTTTTATTTACATTTTATTCAGTCCAATGAGAATCCATGACTGGTTTGCCCCGCCCACCTGCTCCGTGAACTCTGGAATTTGATTGGTTTGTTGCAGTTTGTTTACTCGGAACAGCTGAGCATCTTCACGTGTTCCTAAAAGAACAGTAAGTGGTTTAAAAAGGTTAAAATTCACTGTTAAATTTGACCAAATCTCAAGTTTGCTGTCTGTCAACAAATTAATCATAAAACAATTTATTCTACTTTTGTCATTTAAGACTATTTAACATAAATAATATTAAAAAAAAACATCTGTATACTTCAATCAGACTTTTGCAGACTGATATTCAGTTTTTGTTTTATTTTGACAATTGTGTTGTTATATTTCCCCCTGAAGGTCAAACAAGAGACCATCCGTGTTTGTTTGGTGTATTAGATCCATCAGAAATGAGCAAATATATGTTTATTCAGATTTATAAATAAAAAAGACGCCCCTAACTTGTGTTCATTGATCGAAATTTTAGGGAATTTATTGTTTTGCTGCATAGAGAGGGGATGCATCTCTGAAGTGCGTCTTTTTTTATTTATTTAAACATTTTTGTGTCTTTTGAGGTGTTTTTACTGCAAAACAAGACAAACCTTCAATTTTTATAGTTAACATTACATTTAATCATGATGTGTTTATAACCTGCGTATAACCTTCATATTTTTGCTAGTTTAAATAGTTATTTTAATGTAAAAACGGTGTACTGCAGTAAAGTTTTATAATAAATTAAATAAACAGCATTTTTCTCCAATAAAACTAAATGATTCATAAAACTGCAGAAAATTGCACATTTGTTGCAAATAAATTTGTTTTCTTTAGATCTGATTTTTACAATACACACATAAAGATGAAACATAACTGTGAAACTAATTAGTCTCATTTAGTGCCAATAAAGCAAACATGGCTAACACAATCACATTCCCACCATGTAAACTACGTCTAATTAAGTTTTGCGTAATATAGCCCCAAAAACTAAGCGTCTGCTTTCTGCAGAGGAAACCCTCAGCTGGAAATGGACTACCTGTAGTCTGAGTCTGGATAAAAGATGATTGACAAAGTAAATCAACTGGATCTTACAGCTGCGCTGCTGATCCCGGGGCTCCTTCTCCTCATGCTGCTCTCCGGCTCTCCGCTGCCGTCAAACTCGCACCTCACCAGCAAACAAGGCAGTGTTTGTTGAAGCTCCCGTCTAGCCAATCCGCGCGCCGTTACTCTTGGCAACTGTGTCCATCATTTTTCAGCGCCCAATGAGCGACGGGGGCGGCGCGGAGTCCAGGTGCGCCTCGGCGTCCACTTGGCAGAGCGCCTGGGAGCCGCCTATGGGCAGGAGCGGAGCTGTCAAATGCGAGGTTCCTTTAATAAGAGCGACCAGTCCGGCTCCGGGAGTCATGGCGACCGCAGCGTCTAACCACTACAGCATCCTCACCTCCAGCGCATCCATCGTGCACTCGGAGCCCAGCGTCATGCAGCAAGCCACGGCGTACCGGGACGCGCAGAGCCTGTTGCAGAGCGACTACCCGCTGCAGAGCAACAGCCACACGCTCAGCCACGCGCACCAGTGGATCACGGCGTTGTCCCACGGAGAGGGGACCCCGTGGTCCTCCAGCCCGCTCGGCACCGAGCAGGACATCAAACCCGCGGTGCAGGGCACCCGGGAGGAGATGCACAGCTCCAGCAACAACCTGCAGCACCAGTCGCGGGCGCCCCACCTGGTGCATCAGGCGCACGGGAACCACCACGACGCACGGGCGTGGAGAACCACCACCGCGGCGCACATACCGAGCATGGCGACGACGAACGGCCAGAGCCTTATTTACTCCCAGCCGGGCTTCAGCGTCAACGGGCTGATCCCGGGCAGCGGGCAGGGGATGCACCACCATAACCTCAGAGACAGCCACGAGGACCACCACAGCCCGCACCTCAGCGAGCACGGCCATCCACCGTCCCAGCATCAGCACCAGCACCGGCCGCAGAGTCACCACGAGCACTCGGACGAGGACACGCCGACATCCGACGACCTGGAGCAGTTCGCCAAGCAGTTCAAGCAGCGGAGGATCAAGTTGGGCTTCACGCAGGCGGACGTGGGACTCGCCCTGGGGACCCTGTACGGAAATGTTTTTTCCCAAACAACCATATGCAGGTTTGAGGCCCTGCAGCTCAGCTTCAAAAACATGTGCAAGCTGAAGCCTCTGTTGAACAAGTGGCTGGAGGAGGCGGACTCCACGTCGGGCAGCCCGACCAGCCTGGACAAGATCGCGGCGCAGGGAAGGAAACGGAAAAAACGGACCTCGATCGAAGTGAGCGTAAAGGGAGCTTTGGAGAGCCATTTTTTGAAGTGCCCTAAACCGGCCGCGTCGGAAATAATCACCCTGGCGGACAGTCTTCACCTGGAGAAAGAAGTGGTGAGAGTTTGGTTTTGTAACAGGAGACAGAAGGAGAAACGCATGACGCCTCCCGGAGGAGCGCTGCCGGGCAGCGAGGATATGTACGGGGACACGCCGCCGCACCACGGGGTCCAGACCCCGGTCCAATGAACTCCGCTGGAGCGCTCCTCCAGGACTTATTCACCCTTTTTATTTATCCCCGAGGTTATATATAAATCACTGGACTATGAGACGATCTAGTGAGTGTTTTATGTATAATAGATTGCAGCGAGAACCTCCACGATATCTGCAGTGAATGTGTGAGAGGGGGGGTGGGGGGGCAGTCTGTGCTCTCCGAGAGCGCACCAGCACTGTGAGGCGGCTGTAGCCCCTGATTGTGTATTAAAATTATATTTGACTCTAAACATAATAATAATAAAACAGGGATGGAGAATTTAGATGGAAAAGCCTAGCAGAGTAGTTTCCATTTGACACTTTTTTTCTATCAACTCCAACATCTTTCTTGCTGTGTGCAAAAAAAAGCGGGTTAGTTTGTAGTAGCTTCAAAATGTGCATTGGGGGGTGGGGGGTCACAGAAAGCCGCGTTAATGGAGCAAACTGGGGGCCAGTAAAGGCTGCAGCCCCAGTGGAGACACATCTGTCAGCAACAAAGAGGACAGCTGCCTTTCAACTATTATTATTATTATTATTATTATTATTATTATTATTATTATTATTATTATTATTATTATTATTATTATTATTATTATTATTATTCGTGCTGCGACCTCTGCAATTAGTGGTATAAACACCAAGTGCGCTCGGTTTTTAACAGTCGTCAAACCCAGAGTTCAATAACAGGATCTCTTCCCTCAGAGCGTTTTTTTTTTATTATTATTATTATTTATTTATTTTTATAATTTTTTTTCCTTCAAGATTTTTTTTAAAGCTCCAAGACGACTGATTTAAATATCTGGCACTTTTTCTATAACGACAAAATGGGCTCTATGTCTCTGCAGAAATAAGATGGCAGCATAAACATCCAAATCCACTTAAATATGGTGAAACCTTCTACAAAAAGTCACAATTTAACCCATCTTGTTTTGTTTTTGTTTTTTTTTATAATTTTCCACAGGGGTATTTTTTCTTTTTTTTCCCCTATTAACAGAATGATGACTTTTGCTTAGATCCATAATGAACAGAACCTGCTGATTGGGTTTCAGGATTCCAGCCTACTGCCATATATTCCCTTGTTGTTCTTTTTTTCGTTCCAATTTCCGCTCAGATGCGTTTAATTTGAAGCCATTTTATTGTTATATTTAAATGTTGGTGAAATTAGATTAATTTGAACAATTTCGCGTAAACGGAAAAAAAAAACAGCAAAACGGAAATCCGTTACAGACAGATTATTAAGGCTTAGAAACGCTCAGAAATGTTCCCATTCAATTATAACTTATGCTTTCGGTCAATAATAATGATAATAATAATTATAATTTTAATAGTAATTCGATTATTGTATGAAAATGTTGGAAATATTATTTAAACGTGTTTTTTTAAGTGCAAATACCATATTATTATTATTATAATTATTATTATTATTGCTTTATTGTAGAGGGGAAAAATATAATGATAGAAATTTTATTTTATTTTTTTAGCTTTACGTTGTTTTGTTTCTTGTTTGAGCTTGTAATTTATTACGTAATTCTTTTTTATTTTATGTAGATGACGCAAAAGACGAGATGAATTTCTATAAACGGGACGCAGAGGGCTTTTGTTCTGCAGCGGGAACAGGGACACATTTTTTTTTATTATTTAACTTGCAGATTGACACAAATATGGAAAGTCAAAAGCTCAATACATTATTGGAAAAAAAATTTATCAATCAACCTTTTATTCTAATTTTTTTCTTTTTTCGTGGCTAAAAAAAAACT